GCAGTGAAGAAGTTTTTTTTTTTTTTATATAACACTCTCTTGGAAACTACTCCTGTGACTCTGTTTTTCTTCCTCCTCCCCTCTCTGTCTGTGCTCCCCTCCCTTTACAACTTTTGTCTTTTTACCTCCTCCCATACATATTTCCCCCCCTTCTCTGTATGTCTCACTCCCTCCTCCCATCTGTGCTCTCTCTTTCCACTGTTTGACTATATCTCTCTTATCCTCATATATATATATATATATACACACACATCTTTTTAGGAGTTCAAATGTTCAACTGAGGACGAGGGCCTTCTAGCTCTGAGGTGGCTGAGTTTGGTCAGTAGTACTCTGTACTATCGACACTTGGCATATGGATGTAGTTCTCCCCATCCAAGTGTATAATATGTCCAGAACTTCCTGACTATATCTCCATTTTATATAAGGTATATTTCTTTGCTTGTGTACAACATATCTCATCTTTTATCTCATTGGTTAGAGGGGTAAAACTCCTCTCCAAAAATGTCCATATATACTATTGTATTAGAGAATAAAAGTTGGAGTAAGGAGAATACCTGTCTCTGTGTGTTTTCTTGCTCCCCGGACGTAACACTCTGAGAGACTGAGCATATTTCTGGTGGTGATGACAACATAATGGGAACAAGTTACAGTTTTTCTCAGTCACTTTGGTGCATTTCTCAAATCATCCTTAATATTTGCAAAAAAGTATGTGCATTTCTCAAAACAATTCGTACAAACAGCACCACACCATGGATTACCTGCAAAATCCTGTAACTTACCCAAAATCTTTAGTTCATCTCTCAAAAGTAAGTATTTATGTCAATGAACATATCAGTGCCATCAGAATGAAAAGTCCTTGTGTCATTGTTCACAAACAAGATAGTCAAAATGCTTAGTCATGTTGTCAATATAACAGTGCACTCTGTTACAGTTTTTCTCAGTCGATTTGGCGCATTTCTCAAATCATCCTTAATATTTGCAAAAAAGTATGTGCATTTCTCAAAACAATTCGTACAAACAGCACCACACAATGGATTACCTGCAAAAGCCTGTAACTTACTCAAAATCTTTAGTTCAACTCTCATCTCTCAAAAGTAAGTATTTATGTCAATGCACATATCAGTGCCATCCGAATGAAAAGTCCTTGTGTCATTGTTTACAAACAAGATAGTCAAAATGCTTA